TTTAACTTTAACCTTCTAGAACCTTTTAATTTTTTACTTGCGCCAAATCATTTTGGCATGGTTGAAAAGAGCATAAAAAGTTCTATTGATCTGCATTTTTCGTTTTTGCATAGCTGAACTGTCGGTATTCTAGGTTTGTTCCCGGAAATGACGAATAACTTAAATCAAAAATGCATATTTTTATGTATTGTTTAGTATTTCCATTAAAACACCAAATATATTGCGAATTCGCATAGAATTAATATTACACATTTTACTTCAAATTGTATACTTTGCGTACTTTTTGTAGTACCATTCTACTACCGTTTTCGCAAACTGCGATCACATTCTTCCCCTTTCTCCTACTTCCAAATACGAATCTAGATATAGAAGTGTCAAATTTTAGCTGTCACAAATTACACAACCTTGTATTATTGAATCATGGCCAGAATGTATAATGAATGGATGCTTTTAAAAAATTTTAATTCATGGAAAAAGTGTGTCAAATTTCTTCGAATTCACTGAATTTTCAAAATTTTCAAATTACTTAATTTTCAATTTTTACTTTTTTGTTGTATTTTCGAATTTGTACTATTTTACACAGTTGAATGTCACAGCAAGTTGAATATTTTCGCAGGTTTAGAAAATAACAAAAATTCCAAAATTTTGAATATTATGAAATTATTAAATTTCTTGAGATTTCTTATTTTTAGGATAATTTCCAAAATTTTAAAAACTATCGGAATCTGGGAGATTCTAGAAACTTTGGTAAAATGAGAATATTTTGAAATGTACAAAATTATTGAGATTTAAAAAATTTTAATATTCCAAAATTTTTAGAATTTTATTTATTCTGAAATCCATCCTAAAATGTAAAGATGGAAAACATCACAAATTGTCGAAAAATTCCTATGTTCATGGTACTTGTGTATAACACCTAGAAAATTCTTAGAATTCTAAAATATATTAACATTTTTGAAAAATTCCGAAAATTCTCCACTTTTCGGAACATTTATTTTGTGCTTTGTCTACTTCAGTACATACTATTTTAGTATGTTATTCACGATATATGTTGAAAAAAACATTTTTAACTAAACTAAGTACTTAAAAGTTATAATTTTTTTAAGTACTTAAAATCAATTAAAGTGAGACACAACTAAAGACCATATGAGCATTTCCACAGAATGGTCAACCAGGACAGAGAACTAAAATGAACAATCAATTGTATGGGAGCTATAAGTAATAGTGAACCGACTTTGACGGTTCCGACAAATAATTAATACATTTTAAAAATACAATCGATAGCTCGAAAACTGAGGGAATAAATTGCGTTCAAACAGACAGATATATGGACTTGGCTCGACAAACATTTATGAGGGTCTATATCTTCTTCGTATGGTACTTACCAGCATTAGACAAAACTTATAATACCATTTCGTGTTCATGAAAGGCATAAAAGAGGCACACTTAAGCTTATAAATAAACAAGTAATTTTTAAGCAAAAAACAAAACCGACTTCAATTCTCATATAAAAATTTAAGTTTATCATTAATTTCTTCATGATCCAATGATCGGATTTAAACCAAATTAGTATGGGACCATCTGTGAGGTAACACCTTTCCTTAAAAAATATATATATATATTTCGACGAATTGATAACCTTTCTCCTTTTTGTGCAGTCAGTTATAGACTAATAGAGATATTTCAATGCGCAATTAGTATAGTATAGNCTGAATTTTCAAAATTTTCAAATTACTTAATTTTCAATTTTTACTTTTTTGTTGTATTTTCGAATTTGTACTATTTTACACAGTTGAATGTCACAGCAAGTTGAATATTTTCGCAGGTTTAGAAAATAACAAAAATTCCAAAATTTTGAATATTATGAAATTATTAAATTTCTTGAGATTTCTTATTTTTAGGATAATTTCCAAAATTTTAAAAACTATCGGAATCTGGGAGATTCTAGAAACTTTGGTAAAATGAGAATATTTTGAAATGTACAAAATTATTGAGATTTAAAAAATTTTAATATTCCAAAATTTTTAGAATTTTATTTATTCTGAAATCCATCCTAAAATGTAAAGATGGAAAACATCACAAATTGTCGAAAAATTCCTATGTTCATGGTACTTGTGTATAACACCTAGAAAATTCTTAGAATTCTAAAATATATTAACATTTTTGAAAAATTCCGAAAATTCTCCACTTTTCGGAACATTTATTTTGTGCTTTGTCTACTTCAGTACATACTATTTTAGTATGTTATTCACGATATATGTTGAAAAAAACATTTTTAACTAAACTAAGTACTTAAAAGTTATAATTTTTTTAAGTACTTAAAATCAATTAAAGTGAGACACAACTAAAGACCATATGAGCATTTCCACAGAATGGTCAACCAGGACAGAGAACTAAAATGAACAATCAATTGTATGGGAGCTATAAGTAATAGTGAACCGACTTTGACGGTTCCGACAAATAATTAATACATTTTAAAAATACAATCGATAGCTCGAAAACTGAGGGAATAAATTGCGTTCAAACAGACAGATATATGGACTTGGCTCGACAAACATTTATGAGGGTCTATATCTTCTTCGTATGGTACTTACCAGCATTAGACAAAACTTATAATACCATTTCGTGTTCATGAAAGGCATAAAAGAGGCACACTTAAGCTTATAAATAAACAAGTAATTTTTAAGCAAAAAACAAAACCGACTTCAATTCTCATATAAAAATTTAAGTTTATCATTAATTTCTTCATGATCCAATGATCGGATTTAAACCAAATTAGTATGGGACCATCTGTGAGGTAACACCTTTCCTTAAAAAATATATATATATATTTCGACGAATTGATAACCTTTCTCCTTTTTGTGCAGTCAGTTATAGACTAATAGAGATATTTCAATGCGCAATTAGTATAGTATAGCACTTTAATATAAAATTAATCGCTTTAGAATATTCTGTTCCATTTCGCAGTTTCTTGCTTTTTTTAATTTGCAGTCAAAAGCGACTTCTATTATTATAAAATGAAAAATAACAAGTAAAAGCAGCGCTGTCTTCGGCTATGCCGAAGGCTTCCCNTTGAGATTTCTTATTTTTAGGATAATTTCCAAAATTTTAAAAACTATCGGAATCTGGGAGATTCTAGAAACTTTGGTAAAATGAGAATATTTTGAAATGTACAAAATTATTGAGATTTAAAAAATTTTAATATTCCAAAATTTTTAGAATTTTATTTATTCTGAAATCCATCCTAAAATGTAAAGATGGAAAACATCACAAATTGTCGAAAAATTCCTATGTTCATGGTACTTGTGTATAACACCTAGAAAATTCTTAGAATTCTAAAATATATTAACATTTTTGAAAAATTCCGAAAATTCTCCACTTTTCGGAACATTTATTTTGTGCTTTGTCTACTTCAGTACATACTATTTTAGTATGTTATTCACGATATATGTTGAAAAAAACATTTTTAACTAAACTAAGTACTTAAAAGTTATAATTTTTTTAAGTACTTAAAATCAATTAAAGTGAGACACAACTAAAGACCATATGAGCATTTCCACAGAATGGTCAACCAGGACAGAGAACTAAAATGAACAATCAATTGTATGGGAGCTATAAGTAATAGTGAACCGACTTTGACGGTTCCGACAAATAATTAATACATTTTAAAAATACAATCGATAGCTCGAAAACTGAGGGAATAAATTGCGTTCAAACAGACAGATATATGGACTTGGCTCGACAAACATTTATGAGGGTCTATATCTTCTTCGTATGGTACTTACCAGCATTAGACAAAACTTATAATACCATTTCGTGTTCATGAAAGGCATAAAAGAGGCACACTTAAGCTTATAAATAAACAAGTAATTTTTAAGCAAAAAACAAAACCGACTTCAATTCTCATATAAAAATTTAAGTTTATCATTAATTTCTTCATGATCCAATGATCGGATTTAAACCAAATTAGTATGGGACCATCTGTGAGGTAACACCTTTCCTTAAAAAATATATATATATATTTCGACGAATTGATAACCTTTCTCCTTTTTGTGCAGTCAGTTATAGACTAATAGAGATATTTCAATGCGCAATTAGTATAGTATAGCACTTTAATATAAAATTAATCGCTTTAGAATATTCTGTTCCATTTCGCAGTTTCTTGCTTTTTTTAATTTGCAGTCAAAAGCGACTTCTATTATTATAAAATGAAAAATAACAAGTAAAAGCAGCGCTGTCTTCGGCTATGCCGAAGGCTTCCCACCTTTCATGAACATCTGAAAATTTTACTTTAACAGATTACTGCATTTAAATAAATTTATATATTCACAGCATACATAGACAGAGGAGATACATATATAAAAAATTATATCTCAACAATCAGAGGTATGGAAGATATTCCTTATATAGCACCAATCTAAGTGATTTTCACTGCTGTGTGATCGGTATGTAAACCGGTAACATAATTTTATGGGTTTAGCTTTTTTTTTTCTGTTCGCAAAGCTCGAGGTCGGCTGTACTGATTTGTTTGAAATTTCGGTTATACATAGGTTCTGGATGGGCTTCTCATTGTCTTAGGCAAAGAAAAACGTTTAAATACTTCCTAAAAATGGAAGCAGCACTTTAAAAATCCTATAGAATCTAACATACATGCCCACATAACAGAGCTAAGAGCGCCCTCTGCTGTTAATTCGTAGGGAATACATCGCAAAGCAAGGCTTATGTATATATAAACACATGTGCTAATGTTAACATTAATAGGTGCGTTCGTTTAAAATCTCCAGTAAAAACCAACCAATTGCCAAATTCCGGCGAAATGTCATCTGTGCTCTCACAAGAGAGAAATATCCAAAATAGTACGCGAACAGAAAATTTGCAGAAACTTGCAAGTAGACGAACAGCTAATTGAAATTTTGTTTACATTCAAAAGTGTAAAATTTAAAACATAAGGAAAGTGCTCACAAAGTGTTATTGACTAAACGAATAGCCCCCAGCAAAAGATGGCAAGTAATAAAAAGTTGGAACTACACTGCTCTCCTGGTACATTCCGTAGAGTTGAAAGTGGTAAGTACTTCTGAAAATTAAGTGTTTCAATTTCGTGATGATGTCCACCCCAAAATCGTTGTATAAATAACTAAACATTTTCCATTAAATTTATAGCTCCAGACTACCGCGTACAAATAGCTTCTCTGCATGCAGGCGATGAAGCCTATGAAGAAATTATTTTCACGCAGGGAGTTGCTAGCATGGCATCTGCTGCAATCGATGAATCGCCAATAGTACCGAAAGAAGAGGATATGGTCTTTGTTCCCATTCAAAATTCCGGTGGAAGCAGTCAAGAAAAGAAATTTTCATGGCTCGATGCCCCTACGAAACTTTTGCTTGCGCTGGTGAAGGAGTTGCGACCTAAGGTTGGGAAGAGTGCTAACCTAAGAAATAAAAAACAAATGTGGAACACCATCAGCAACGAGCTCTGCGCTAAAGGGCATTTTTATAATGCTGCGCAGGTGGAGGGGAAGTTTTTCACTCTGGAGCGCCGCTACAAAAATGTTCAGCTCAACAACTCCCAAACAGGCAGAGGAAGACAAACTTGTCCTTATCAAGCGTAAGCTTTGAGACTTATAAACAATTTTAATTTCATTAATTATTATCAATTGTTTTCATTTCCAATTATAGTGAACTGGATGAAATTTTTAAAGAAAGAGCATCAGTACATCCGGAATGCGTTATCGATAATGAGGTTGAGGTGTCGGCTGAAGCGGATGAAGTTTCTGAGGCCTCGCCAGCCTCTCCAGGTATTAACGTATAGAAGCTTGTACTAGTTTATTCATATGTTACTAAAACGAGTATTTTTTGTGCTTAAATCAATTTTAGACGTGGCACCTTCTACCTCGAGAAAAAGAAAGTCAGCAGAAAGTCATGGAGGAGACGGAGCTTCGCGAGGCTAAACGGGAAAAAATTGACGAAAAGCTCCAAAAATTGCTGGAGGAGAATATAAGACTTAAAGAGGAAAGCATGAGGAGAAGGGAAGCTCGTGCTGAAAGAAGGGAGCAGCTACAGACTGAAAAAAATTATATTTTAAAATCTTTAGTAGATCGTTTAAAAAAATGAATATACTTATATCCATTGTAACAACTAATAGGGACGCGACATTTTAACAGGCTTTGGCTACCTTCCTTTTGTTTATTTAATATTTATTAGTTTTTACAAAAGTATGTCTTCTTATCTAACAAAAACCATGTAATTCCAAATTTCAAAGCTTGTAAAAAAATTGGGAAATTCAGCAAAGTTTCACCAACATTTCAAATTTTTGATCAGCAGGATTTTTCAGCAACCTCTCACTTGCACTTTATTATACTAAAATTTAGTGAGCTATAAAACTGCATACCAAACTTTTCCTAAAAAATCTGATAAAAAATGTTGAAGAAACTTTGCTGAAGTTTTTTAAATCCTTTGAAATTTGGACGTACATGGTTTCGGTTGTGTTTCGCCACACTATTAGTTTTTCCCCACTGCATTTTCAAAATCGTTACTAAAACTGAAAGCGTTGAGTTCTTAAATACCCAACTATCGTGGCAAGAACCTGGATAGCCAACGAAAATGTTCAGAAATTTCTTATTTTCGTTGCAAACAGCTTGCAGACATATTGATGTTATTCCTTTGCGGTCAATATAATCGTCCTTTCCTTTACTTGGCGGGTCTATCCTTATGTGCATACCATCAATGCAACCTAAATAGTTAAATTAATATAATTTATATACAAGTTCATTGACAATTGAATATTTCACCTATTGCCTTGGAAAATAAACATTTCCTATCAAAGAATCTACTCGATTCCTCTATCTGCTCTTGGGTTGCCCATACAATAAATTGTGGACTTAGGGAGCTTAAGAACATCGTTACTCTATTAATTGCAACACAAATCGTTGAAAGAGAAAGATTGAAGCGGTCGGCTAAATCTCGGTAACAACATCCAGCGTGGCCAGCAAACCACAAAAATAACAATAAATGTGTCTTTTACGAGAGTCTTTTGTCACCCCGCAGGTTGCAATAAAAATCCGATCGCTTAGGTTCTCAAAAAGACTGTTGGAAATTCGGAAATGCATCCTAAATTCTCTTTCAGTGTAAGTTGGCACTGTTTGCTCAATATAATTATTAACGCAGTTACGAGGCTGCCTTTCACCGAACAGCAGCAATATATTTGAGTACAAATCGTACTTTGTTGATAACTTTTGCATTATGGCTAACTCCTCTTCGTTGTCACTTTCACTGTCACTTTCTGATGAAGACGATTCCATTGCAATCATAAGCGCACTAACTATTTGTTTTCTTTCCATTACTTTTTTTTATCCATATTCTCGGCTTTTGTAAAAAAATAAGGCAAGTTTTTAAGACCAAAAGAAAAATATTTATAAAAATACCTTCGAAGTTTCCAATGTCCTGATTTATTGACATGGAGGCATTATCCTGCTCTGCGGTACTTCCTGGCGTAGTTGAAAGTTTATCTTCATTCGTTTCACGAATACATATCCTTTTGTTGGGGACCTGGTAAAAAAGATTACAATTTATTATACGTACATATGCACATGCATATAAACTTAACAAAAACTAGATCTACTTACTTCTTCCATATTGTAATATTTGCTCATATTTGTTTTCTAAAATGCTAAAATTCAATTTTGTGATTTGCGTAAATTCCTACCAGCTGTTTTTGATCAGCTGTTTCCCTGTTGGCAAATTGCTGTTGGCAAAAATTTTTCCAACAGAAACTAACAGCTTCCCCTCAAAATGAAATGTCACTTTGCTCTCTCAATTTCCCCTACTTTGCAAGTTTTTTGCGTACGCGAACGCAAAAACCTGTAAGTTTTGGTTAAACTTGAACAATTAACAGCTACGCGAACGTACCTAATGTTGATTCTTATTTAAAAAAAAACAAATATGTATGTACAGTTCATGGATAAATAATAGGTTTCTATAGTAACCAATAGTCAGTACTAATTTGTACTGGAACCTGCAAATTTTTACTGGAAAAGCGTATGATAACCCAACAAATTTGCAAGAGAGCACAGAATCGAGAGCGAACAACACGGGAGAGCTGCAAATTCTTGCTAGTGAAATTTATACTAGCAGAAATTAGCTAGCACAAGAAGAAGAAGAATAAGTGTCAAAAGCCGCCGTTTGTTGAAGTGGTTTAGCACAAACAAAAGTGAAATGAGTGGAAATCAAAATATTAATGATGTACTGGACTGTGTAAGTGCGTGTGTGTAAAGCAAAGTGTTTAAAAATGATTTATAAATCGTAAAATGTTTACAGCAGAATGTCAAAATAATGCAACTGCTGTTCACTTGCAAGTTTTTGCTAGTTTTGTGTTAATTAACCAGTGTTGCCAACTTTTCAGTTTCAAAAAGCTCCAAATCTTGGAAAAAGGAGCATTTTGCCGCACTAAAAGCACTAAATTTTTTTTTATCAAAGGATACTCTTTTTCATAACAGTTTATGGTAAACAAAAGTAAAAAAATAAACAATATTTACATGTATAGATAAATACACATTCATGCTTGCGAAGTAATACCGAAGTACTGCACATTAAAACCGGTACATCTGGAGAAGGAACAATCGAATCGCAAAAAACGAAGTTGAGTTTTAAAGGGGAAGAGTAATACTTAATTATACCCTAAGTATAAATGTGCGAAAAAATTTGTTGTTTTATAATATAACCTCAAATATTGCGAAAAACCGTGTTTTTACACTTAGAGGCTAGGATATCTCAAAATTCTGACTTGGTATAGAAATTCTGCAGCTAGATTTGTATTCAGCACCGAAGAATCTACAGAAACCGATGCACTCAGGTGGCAAAAAAGTTAAAATTTTTCGAACTGTGTAATCAATCAATAATCAAGAAAATAAAAAAAATAAATACTTAACTTATCTGCGTGCTAGCATTTTCAACGCGAATACAATTTAACAAGAACGCAAGAACGTGGGTTTGCAACTTCATCTTTTTAACAATCATGGTTTGCATTTTAGTGCATTTAAATTTGTAGATTCTTGTAAATTCAGAAATTTTAGTTCAGAAAAAAGCACTAAAAAGGGCACTAGGCACTAAACCATTTTTTTTTGGCGTTTTAATTTTCAAAAAGCACTAAATCTAGTGCTTAAAGCACTAAGTTGGCAACTATGTCATTAAGGTCGGTGTTATGCAGAAATTTTGTTTGGCAAACTGCGTGCAATTGTTGTTGCAGCAAACTCGCAGAGAGCGAGTTTGGCGACTCTCACAGCAAACTAATTTTGTTTGGTCAAACTTCAGCAAATTCGGTGTTGTCATATACAAAAATTTTAAATTTTGCGCGTTATGTACATCTGAAATTCTCATTTCGTGTTGCCAATAGCCATGAAAACCATAATGAACGTGCAACCCTGTGCCAAACTCGACATAACCACCTCCGAGCAAACTAAGCAGCCGCCATTTAATTTGGCAAACAAAAGTTTGTCTGCATAACACCGACCTAACTTTTTCTGCTAGTTTTCTCTTCTTCTCAATTTTACGCTCTATTTTGCTTTTACGCTCTCGCTGCAATGTTTTACTAGAGAAGTTACTATACAAACCTATGGTAGGCCATTATGTATGTAGAGTCGTTTATGTTGCCATTGCTGTTAGCACTTACATTTGTATATGCATATTTATGTACATACATATGTATGTATATAATTACGCATAAAAACCCTGCTGCTATGTGTTTTTTTAAGCAGCAACTCTAAAGGCTCCGTTATGCATACTTGGCATGGCTTGAGAGCTGTCACATAAGAAATCTGTTAAATGAGCCTCGCGTGTAATCGGCTATCGAACGCACAGCACTACATACGTAGAAGTCTGTTGGTTTTTGATTTCTACGTAAAAATGGTATAGCAGTGCATGCAATGCCAAGTATGCATAACAGAGCCTTTATCCATCTGTGATATATGTAGATTCTATGTATACCGCAAAGCTCGAGAACGACTGAACAGATTTTTTTTGAAATTTCGGACACCTGCTGCAGACGTTCAAAGGATGGTTACCGGCTAACAAAACTCTCGATATACAAAAGGGGTGTGGAAGCTCCCAAACAAACCGAATTTTTCATACCATATCCACATCTCTGGAAATGTTCATGGTAGAGTTCTGGAACTTGGTATGGAGATATATAAGATCAATCGCATATGCTTGCAGAAAAATTAGAGCTATTGAAAAAGAGGGCGTGGTACCTCCTATACAACCCGAATATTTCATACTGCATATTTCTGGAAGCGTTCATGGAAAAATTTTTGAATTTGGTACAAAAATGTATGAAAAAAATCACATACTCATGGAGAAAAATTGGAGTTATTGGAAAAGGGGCGCGGCACTTATATTCAACCGAGTTGTTCGTACTGTATATCTCTGGAAATGTTTATGGCAGAGTACGGGAATTTGGTATGGAGGTACTATGTATATGAAATCAATCGCATACTCTTGAGAAAAATTGGAGCAATTGTACAACACGTCCTCCCATACAATACGAATTTTCATACTGCCTATCTCTGGAAGTGTTCATGGTACAGCACTGGAGCTGGGTATGGAGATGCATATATGAATTCAATCGCATATTCATGAATAAAAATTTGGACTATTTGAAAAGGGGCGTGGCACCTCCCATATAAACCGAATTTTTCATAATAAGTATCTCTGGAAGTGTTTATGGTAGAGTACTGGAACTTTATACCGGCGTGGCAACTCCCATACAAGTCGAATTTTTCTTATTGCATATCCCTAGAATTGTTCTTGGTAGAGTAC